CTTACTGTTAACTTGCATGGGCTGTCTACCTCTAGATCTTTACTTTTATCTTTCATGTTGCTATTAGGTGCTATTGAGTTAAATAGAACTCAAAGTGACCCTGTGAACAACAAATCTTAAACCTGTCCTATCCTTTGCCATCCTCATTATTTCTCTCTCTTTTTTTTTTAATGAGAAAAATCTGTATTTAGAATTAGTCAGCTGGACTCAGTTTAGATGATCCCAATTTTATTGGCAACATCCAAGCATCATAGTCAGGAGTAAGTCAAACATAGGCCTTCTTCTCTCCATCAGGCCTAGTCAAAGTGTTGACCTTAGCCACATTAATGTCATAGAGCGTCTTAATAGCTTGTTTAATTTGGTGCTTGTTGGCCTTGGCAACCACAATGAACACAAGTGTGTTGTTCTATCTTCTTCATGGCTGACTCAGTGGTCAGGGGAAATTTGATGATGGTGGTCAAGCTTGTTTCTCCTGGAGGTGCTCTTCTGGAAGTATTTAGGCTGCCTTCAGAGTCTCAGCATCTTAGACTGCTGGAAGGTGGGTGACGTGAGGATCTTCTTTATCCTCATTATTTCTGACACACTTGAGTCCATTGTTGCAGTCACTCTGTCAATCTATCTAAGGTCTTCTTTCTTTCTTTCCCTGATTCTCCACCTTTCCAAATATGATGTCCCTCTTGCTGGACAATGATTAAGGATGACAAAAGAAGAATTGATGCCTTTGAGTTGTGGTGCTGAGGAAGAGTCTTGAACACACCATAGAACACCAAAAAACACAAATAAGTCTGTCTTAGAGAGGGCCAAACCAATTTTCTCATTGGAGGCTAGAATTTTGGGCGCATGACCATGAGGTCCTTGGAAAAAGACATCATGCTCAAAAGTGTGGAGGGACAGTGCAAGAAAGGAAGACCCTGAATGATGTGGATTGACGCAGTAACTGGGGAAATGGGGCTGGGTGTGTTGGAGTCAGTGAGACTGTCTCAGTGTAGGGCAGGATTCAGAGCTGTTGTACATAGGGTCACTATGAGTTGCAGGTGACACAATGGCACATAACAGAAGCTCCGTCTCACATACTTCAGGCATATTGCCAAGACGGACTAGTCCTTGGAGAAAGACATCATGGTTAGAAGGGTGGAGGGCCAGTGTAAGGAGAGGAAGACCCCAGGTGAGATGGTTTGACATAGTAACTGTTGTAATGAGAGTAAGATTGGTTTAGGATAGAACAGGGTTCAGAGCTATTGTGCATAGGGTTGCTATGAGTTATAGGCAACTCAATAGTACATGACAACAAAAAAATATTGTCATATAACCCCTACAAAAAAGTTTATACAAATAAAAGTTAATAATAAAATGCATGCTAAGAAATAATTAATGAAATAATATTATGAAAAATAATATTTATTGGTTAATAAAAATATTAATCAACTCTACATATCTTATCTCTCCTTCACAGGGTTGCAATGAGTCGCCTGTGACTCAACGGCACTTAACAACAACAATAACATCAACATAGAGAGAGATCAGCTGGCCCAGTGGACAGAAGGCCATGCTACCAAGCCAAAGGTGGGTGACTTTTAATCCGCAGCCCTCGGGCCTGTCTTTCATTGTTTTTGTTCAGACATTCCTCTATGTTGTATAGCCTTGGTGTTCAAGTTGCCATACAGCGGTAACTTGTGGTTGCTGTAAGGTTGAACACTGTGACACTGATGAGTCAAATGCGTTAACGCCTGGTTACCCAATGTGGAACAGAGAGTGGGGTGGAGTTCCCTGATTAAAACAAGTTTGGAAGGAGGAGTGGCATCCACTTCCATAATAGCTTGCCTCTGGAAACCCTATGAACCTGGAGACATAGGATCACAGACACCCGAGCGTTGAGGACTCTCCTTCATAGAGTTGCTATGAGTCGCCTGCAACTCTACAGCACTTAACAACACCACCACCACATATTTTATGTGTAAAATACTGTACAGAATTACCTTATTTCAAAGACGCTTTGATGAAACTATCATCACTAGCTCCATTGTATATATAGGAAAAATCAAGGCAAAAAAGTGAAATAATTTTAATTTACTGAGTGTTAGTGATAATATTTGTATTTGAAAACAGTCTAATTTCAGAGTATTCAAACTTTTCATCTAGTATTGTAGTAAAAAGTGCATGGGTTCTACAGTTCATCTGCCAGAGATCAGATACCATCTCCAGCTAAGTTCCTCTTTTTTTTTTGATTGAAATAATTTTTTTAATATGCTAGTATTTTGTCCTGGTAATAAATTAATATTGATTGTGACCAAATCCAAGGGAAATGCTTTTGGGTGCATATAGAATGACCTGACTTGACAGCAACATTGGGTTGGTTTATTCTACTTTACTTCTCCACGCTCATGTCAGATGGGTAGTGTGCCTATGTTGTAACAAGGGTGAAGGGTGGCACATGTCATACAGAAGCATGAGCACCCAATCATCATGCTTGTCTCCCATGGTAAGTCATGATGTGGATGGTTTGTATCTGTAAAGATTTCAATTGCCATTTCAGTTCCTGAAAGTGAAAAGCCAGACAACAGAGAAACACTCAGAAATCACTTGATCTGGTCTCTGACTGTGCAGATGAGGGCCCATGGCCTGCCTGAGGGTCATAAAGCAGGGTGACTGTGCTGGACTGGCTTGCGGGGTGAGGGCCTCTGGGCCGTGCAAGAATGAGGAAGGCATGCTCTGACAGATTGTCAGCTCACACTGGGAAAGGGTTTGCTCTCTGTCAGACCAAGGACTGAACCTCCAGTGCTCTGCTGTAGTTTTTCACTTCAGTTACTTGGCTGTCCTGGAGACAAAGCCATTCCCAGTCTGCAGCTCCTCAACAGCCCTAACACTGACTTCTGGGACGTTTCTGCTTTTCTCTGGATATCTGGACCTGGCCACAGAAGGGGTGCCCTTACTGCTTCTCTCTCGGGGTATCTCCTCTTGCTTGACACTCCATGTGAGCAGAAGGAACTAATATGTCATCCACACCTGCAAAATCATCACCGTCCAAGTCCACTCTCTGCACAGCTCATTCCACTCCCTCGCCCACTGCTCATTCTGTCACCGGCTCAACAGCTTCTGCAGGGCAGCTGTGATAGATATCCTACCCATTGATGACAGCACATCAGGAACACACCTTTTAGTTCCCGTAATGTGCAAGGATCTCTCCAACTTCCTGTGATTCACTGCCTCAGGCTGATAGTGGCATACACTGTGCAGCTGGCAGACAAGAGAACAGCTCAGCGGGAGAAAGATGGGCAATCTTTGTGTGTGGATCTACAGCCTCTGAAAGCTCACTGGAGAGTCAGCTACAGGTCGGTTCCGACTCCACGGCACATAACGAGTGGGCATGGGAAGCACGTTTGTGAGTTAAAGAACATATGTTCTGGAGAGGCATTTATCTCTGAAGACAAAAATCACTGTAAACATCTTACAAGACAGTCATTTTATTGCTTTTTAAAGTCAGAATAAAGCTGAACATACAAAGGGGTTTTCAGATTCCCATTTGGTTCTAATTTTTGCTACTCTCCACACTGCCATGGAGGTAGGCTGACAGCCAATCTCCGTGGGTTTCTTTTTCTCCAGGGCAGCATTTTTTCTGCATGATTTCTGCCTTGCTTGGCTGCAGGTTACAGGCTTTCCCAAGGGCACATTTGTTCAGAAATTGGGTTGTGTACCGTAGAGTTTGAAGTGACTCAGAGCTGACCCTCCAATGGGTCCTCAGAGGCTGTATATTGCACAGGAGGAGACTGCCCATCTTTGTCCCGAGGAGAAGGTGGTGGATTTGAACCACATTCCTTTGGGTTGGCAGCACCACTCCCTTCTACTAAGTCACCAGAGCTCCCTATTATTATTTAGAAAAGGCCTCCTGTTGTCCAGTTCACCTCAGCAAATGGGTGAATTGCTGTAGATACTTGACCTTTCAGGAGTGGTGAAAGACACAATGGGAGGGGAGTTCTGCCATCAGCTTCTGGATGTGAAATCCCAGCTGCAGAGCAGTCACTGGTCTTTTATGAAAAGGGGGGAGGGGGAACCCCAACAACAAAAACAAAGCAAAGCAGAAAGTACCCTGCAGGAAGAAACTGTACTTTTTCCTGAGCTGGCAGAATTGCACAAACATTTCGCTAAGTGGCACGCGTCGCTGTTGGCAGAGACCAGGGACAACAGGACTGCGGTTTCTGAGGACTCCACTCAGGCCTTCTCTGTGGACCACAGGCGCTCACTCCACTTCCATCTGATTAGGACTCGTGCTGGTGGAGTGGGGGCTATGGGCCCACCAGCTGCAGGAAGGGGGAAGATGTGGCTCCCGGACTCACAGCCGCGGAGACCCCAGGGGCCAGTTCACTGTCCTATAGGGTCACCCGAATAGGAACTGACTTGATGGTGGTGCCTCCGGATTATCCCAAGGCCTGCCTGCACAGCTGAAGCCTAACAGATGGCACACTTAACAGAACGCAGACCTTTCAAAGATGACAAGGCCGAGAGGGCTGCTTAGGGGAGAGGGGAGGCAACTGGAAGGGCAGTCCTGCCAAGAAAGCAGGTATTCTTAAGTTCTGAACAAGAATGGTGAATTCACATGTCACCAAAGGGCGAAGTCTAATAATCTTGGTTACTAAGCCCCAAGGCCAATCCCTTCCCTGTCAAGGAATACTCATGACCTTGAGGTAGGTGATGCTGTCATCGGATATTAATAAAAGATACAAAAATGATGAAACAGTGGGAATGGAAGCCCTGATTTCTTTAAAATTCACCATCTTTCCTTCAAGTTCAGGTGGAAAACAAGGAACACTGGCAATCCAAAAGTGTAAGTGTGAAACGAGGCATTTCATGTCACAGCGGCTCCTTTATTGAAGAGGAAGGTCGCTGTCCACACAGGAGTCTACTCACAGCACGCCACAAAATCTGTCCCCAGGAAGAAGCCGCAGTTGACCTGTCCATCAAGGCTCATTCCCAAGTGTTCTGGATTTGGATTCCAAGGGTTTTCGTCAGCATTTAACTAATTTTATGTTGGCTGAAGGGGCTGGGACTGTCTCTGCACACATAAACTGGTCTTGGTCATAGATCACTTTTGTCACGAGAGAGCAGCTAGGACACGTCGCCACCTCGTCCACATTCTCCAAATCCTCCTTGGTGATCCAGAAGTTGTCACCGCACGGGCAGGGGTAGAAGTACGACTCCGAGTCCTCGTCATATTGGAAGTCCTCGATCTCCACCTCGTCGTGAAACACCGCCACTGCCCCTGAGCCAGCAGGACGGCGGACACCTGTGCCGCGTGCCTCCGTTTCCTGTCTAACCCAGTGCAGCTGCGGCCGGCGCTCCGGAGGCACAGAGCCCACTTCGGGCGCACAATCCTAAGTGCCTCTTTATGCCTGTTTTATCCCCTGTAAATTGGAGATCTAATAGTTTCGGGTTGTCTTGTATAGTAAATGAAATAGTGCTTGTAAGAACTTAGAACATTCCTGGCCAAAAACAGTGGTCCAGAGTGTTGATTATTATTCCTTGTAATATTGATAATAAAAGCAATGTGATGCTATATTTGCAAATCTAAACTTGTCAGAATAATAATTACATTATCATTTTTCTTGTAATATATGAGGAAATTTGTTGTACACAAGGGAGATCCAGGACTTGGTTAATTGGATACAGGTTTTAAAGTACCTAATAAACACCATGACTTGTGGTTGAAAGAAAAGATTCATTTTCTTTTTTGCTTTCCTTTAAGAAAATTACTAATAAACTCTTGCTTTTAAATATCACCCTATTTTGGCCTATTAGATGTTTGCAGATAAAAGAACGCTATAATATTTACTGCTATTTCTATTCTTTTTTTTGTCCTTTTTGTCTTTTCTTGGGATGAAGTTTGGCCTTGATAAAATGCATACATAAATTATAGTGTTATATCAAATAATTTAGTACTGTGGAAAGGATTGTGAACCATGCTTAATGTTTGGAATTATGAGGAGAGACAATTAAAAAGCTACTAGCTATAGAAACACACTCACTTAATAACTTAGAGAGTTTTGAAATTATGGTGGAACAATACCACTATCATTCAAATTTATCCACCTAAACCAGAGCCAAAGAGGAGGAAATAGATGATTTCTATCAACTGTTGCAGTCATAAATTGACAGAACATGTAACCAAGTGCTTTAATAATAATGGTGACTGGAATGCAAAAGTTGGGAATCAGGAAGAAGGATCAGTAGTTGGAAAAACATGGGCTTGATGACAGAAATGAGTCTAGGGATAGAATGATAGAATTCTGTACAATCAATGATTTATACATAGCACATATCTTTTATAAGAAACATAAATGCAGGCTATACACATGGATTTCACTTGATGGGATGCACAGGAATCAGATTTATTATATCTATGAAAAGAACCTTTGGCGAAGTTCAGTATCAACGATAAAAACTAGGCCGGGTGCTGATTGTGGAATAGACCATCAATTGCTCATATACAAGTTCAAATTAAAACTTAAGAAGGTTAAATCATATCCACAGAAACTAAAATTTGACTTTCAGTCTATCTCCCATAATTTAAAGACCAACTCAGGAACAGGTTTGAAGTCTTGAACACTACTGAAGGAAGTCCAGGTAAGCTGTGGGAAGATATTAACAATATCATTCAAGAAGAATGCAAGAAGTCACTACTAAGAAAGAAGAAGAAGAAAAGACCAAAACGGATGTCAGAAGAGACTCTGAATATTGCACCAGAGTACCGGTGAGCCAAAGCAAAGGGAAGATTCTACTGATGATTATCCTTAAAAGCAAATGTGACCTATACAAGAGAAAACAAATATAATTAAGATAAAATAGTTGTGATGTTGTTATTCAGCTACAACTCAAAGCAATCCTCTGAACAACAGATCAACAAAATCTTGCTCAATCTAGGCTACTCTCATTATCTCTGCTATGCCCAAGCCCACAGTACAGTCACTGTGTCATACAGTTGTGTTGGCGTGATTACATTCTGGATACTTTTCTGCTTGAGAGGGAACTCTGTTGGTGCAGTCTTCAGCCAGTTGGGCTGCTAACCCCAAAATACTAAATCCTATCTAATCAAGAAGAAGTCATGTCTTAGTTTATGCTGGAACTCCCCAGAAATTTCTTTAGGGCTGCCTTCATCTCCTTATTCCGGAGACTATAGATGAGGGGGTTGAAGAGAGGAGTTACCATTGCATAGAACAAGGTTGCAATTTTCTGCATCCCTGCAGAATGTCCAAGTCCTGGACTCACATACATGACCATCAGGGAACCATAGAACAGTGATACGACAGCCAAATGAGACCCACAAGTTGAGAAAGCTTTACGTTTTCCAGTGGCTGAAGGCATACGAAACACAGCTAATAAAACAAGAGTATAGGACCCAAGGATGAAGAGGAAGTTTCCAAAGATAACTAATGAGCTTAGAGTATAGCAAAATAATTGAGTTTTTGAAGCAGAGGTACACATTAATGAAAATAGAGGCCCTGGGTCACATACAACATGGTCAATAATGTTTGGGCCACAAAAGGGCATCTGAGAGACAAGAACAATGGGTACCAGGAACCACAGAAACCCACAAACCCAGCAGATAACAACTAGTTTAGCACAGAGATGTCCAGTCACAATATTGGGATAGTGTAAAGGATGGCAGATAGCAAGATACCGGTCAAAGGCCATGACAGTCAAAAGAAAGCATTCAGAAGTGCCCAAAGAGAAAAAAAAATAAAATTGGAGAAAGCAGCCAACAAAGGAGATGGTCTTTGTCTCTGAGAGAAAGTTGATCAACATCTTGGGGACCGTAGAAGAGACGTACCATATCTCCAGAAAGGAAAAATTCCCCAAGAATATGTACATTGGTGTGTGAATTCTCTGGTCACACCACACTGCACAAATAATGGCTCCATTTCCTGTTATGGTCAGAACATAGGTTGTGGTAAAGAGTGAGAAGAGGAAGATCTGAATATGCCATTCAAAAGAGAAGCCTAGGAGTATAAATTCACTCACAGAAGCAAAATTAGAATCTGTCTTGGAGACATTCATTGAGTCAGTCATCTGCAAAGTAAAGAAATACATTGTTATAGGTTATGATTGATTTAAAAAGTATACATTTTTAAGAAGAAGAAAGGGCAATGATCATGTTTTTCCAAGTGAGTCATTAATTATAAAGGGAATGTAGTCTAATTCAATTCTTCTTGATGATATACTCTAAGGAAATGTTTGAGTAGAAACAAACATTTGCCTATTTAGAAATCTTTCTTTTGTTATGCTATCATAATAAAACTAGGAAAAATTACACTTATTTTGCAAATATGTTATTTTTAAACAGAGATGATCTATGGGTGGCTAGAATTTAGCATGAAGTTATTGCTGAATAAATTATCTAGTTTCTTACCTTAACCCAGTTAATATGATAGACTCAGGAAAGAAAGTTTTAAGTATAAAATTATTTTTGTCACTCAGCTAATGTGTTATTTAAAGTATCTTGCTAAAGTAACCTATAGGTGCAAAGAAAATGAATATACTTTACAGCAAATTAGCATTAATTAAGGTAAAGTTTATATATGACTTTTTGTTGCTATTATTCTTAGCCTAGGCATCATAATACAATAAATCTATTATTTTACTTACCAAATTTGCTATTTAAGCTGTAATATTGCAATAACCTCTGCAGATAATGGCTTTAAGTTTATACTTAGTATTTAAAAAAAATATTCACAAGGAACACTAGATACCCCACCCCAAGAAAAAAATGTCCAGGATTGTTTTTCCTTATATATTTGCATAAAATTAAATGAAAATTTCCACTACAGAGGCTGGATACAGCATCACATAGTATTTTTAATAGGTAAACTTCCTTCTTCCATATTTTCATGCAAAAGAAAAAGATATTAGAGGTGACTTACAAGAATAATATGCACATTAGCAATATTCAATGATGTAAGTCACAGAAGTTGTGAGCTCTTACATTCTGGGAACAAACAAAAAAAGTTTTAAAATAATTTCTTCCTCTCACCTAATTGTCACTCAAGCACTTTCAGGAGCCTTTTTAGAACAGTTAGTAGGAAGTTATGTGGATGCTTCACTCAGGAAGATGTATTTTTAAACACCTAAACCAGGAACATTATTAAATCAATGTTGAGAAGTTATAAAATGAAAAGGGGTTGACAGATGGTGTCACGAGGCTCTGTAAACTGAAAAGATGAAGCTATCATTACTTTGATCTGGATCAAGTTTCTGAAGCTGCTGTCTGATAGACCATATACTTCTGTTTTCAGCGAAATAGTTTTCTGGCCGTACACATATTAAGAATGTACTTTATATGCAACATATTCATCTGGGACTTGGTCTCTATAGTATTAGAAATGTTCTCCTCTAAACCAACAAACCTTTAAAAAGTTAATGGTTACATGTTCTCTTAGGAATCAGTAAAGCATCTTTGACAAGTTTCTGCTGAGGCACCATTACCTACAAATAGCTTTCCTAACAGAAAAAAATATTCTAAGGAGTATCAGTAGGTTCGATTGAAGGAAATGCTAAGACACAGTGTGTCACCAAAAATTCAAACGTGGAGTGGAGAAACATTTCAAATATCACTGTTAATGGCTTGAAGAACACAGAAATTATATATATATATAATATATGATGTATATGTATATGTTGTTGTTGTTTTGTGCCGTCGAGTCACTTGCGACTCATAGCGACCTTATGTACAAC